AGGAGAAAAGGAAGGAGCTGGTCGACGTATATCTCTCAACTCTTGCCGATGTGGAGGTCGAACAACTTTTCGATGATATGTCCCCGCAGCAGATTCAGAGCAGAGTCAAGGCCTATATTGAGGAAAAGGCTAAGTCGGCTGACAAGGAGGTCGAAGTTGTCAAGGTTGTTACGCCGGCTGAGGGTGATTCAGATAAGGTGCAAGATCCTCGTGATGAGTTTGTTCCGGTGCCAGATGGGGCCATTGAAACTGCTGCCAAGGCTAAGGAGTCGCAGGTCTTGGAGCGACTATCTTCAGGGACCGAAGTCGGGGAAGGCAGCGGTACCGGGGCCAATGCGGAGAAGATGACCGACGCCATTTGAAGCTCTAGACATATTATCTATTACTGCATTATTAATTTCGTAATAAGACATCGGGGTGCCAACATGTTGGCATCCTTAGTAGGAAATATATGAATATGTAATTGGGGATATCAGGTAGTTGATTCCCTTAGTAGGAAATATGTAAGGGTTTTCCAGACTTTTTAAGATATTTATATTACATGTTTGCACAATATTTGTCTTGATTTATGTTCGATGTACGAACTTCAGCAATTTTTCGACCTTCAGCAATTTTTCGACCAAAGTGTTCTGAACTCGGTACGGGTTTTAAAATAAGTTGCCGCAACTCGGATATAGTCATATTACTAACCAAGTTGTGGATTTTTTATAAAAATATTTTTCGAGTTCCACTCCGATCATTTGCAATATCTGTAGCCACTAGTGTAAGTCGGTATGCGAACTTACTAATAATTCACTTGACTTAACACATTTTTGGGTTGTGCGTGAAGTAAAATAGAGTTCACCGAACTTCATCAGAGTTCGATTATGGAGCGGTCCCAACCGATTTTTATCTTTTGTATTCGGTAATTTTCGGGACCCGCCAAGTCATGTTCGTTGAAATTGCGTTTGACGAGCTTCAATCCCCAATCACAACATGCGTAGGAGTTGGATGGATTACGGGGTATCAGCAAGATCGAGTGTCGCAATGCTTACATCGGTACAAAATATTCATAGAACCGAGTTTCAAAGTATTTTACATCGGTGTCGAGCTGTTATTCGAATTTTCAAAGTGGAAGCCGACAGGCCTTCAGTACATCAAAAGAGCTACTTCGTACGTTCAGCGAAGCAAAAAGAGGGGTCCGTGCAAAAGATGGGTCAGCTATCTGACTTCGGACCGTTCATTGATAGAACTTCTTTAGGAAAACAGCATTCCATGGATATTGATGCGGAGTTCCATCAGAGTGGGCGATTCGGTAGGCTCCATGAGGTAGGACTTCAATGACTTGAAAAGGTCCTTCCCACCTCGGTTTGAGTGGGCGGGGATCAGGCCCCATTATACGTTTAAGGACTAAGTCTCCAACTCGGAATGAACGAGGCTTAAGTTTGGAATTGATATATCTCTCGCTTCTATGTTTGTAAGCGGCATTCTTGAGTTCGGCCCGGGTGCGATGTTCCTCGAGCAGGTCCAGATTTGACTTTAAGTTTTCCGAGTTGGACTCTTCGGTAAAATGTTGAATTCGGTATGTGGGTTCACCGAGCTCAACTGGGACGACAGCTTCCGAACCATAAGTGAGGGAAAATGGGGTCTCACCGGTGGAAGTTCGGGCAGTGGTCCGGTAGGCCCATAGGACATGTGGCAACTCTTCAGGCCAAGCTCCTTTGGCGGCGTCAAGTCGGACTTTGAGGCCGTTTTTTATGAGCTTGTTCACAGCTTCAACTTGCCCGTTGGATTGCGGGTGATAAAGCGAAGAGAAAAAGTGCTTGATATTATATTCTTCGCACAGGGATTCAAATCGTTTGCCTTCGAATTGTCTCCCGTTATCGGTAATAATGGAGTTCGGTACTCCGAAGCGGCAGATGATTGATTTCCATATGAAGTCAACGACTTTTTGCTCGGTTATTGTGACTAACGGTTCGGCTTCGGCCCAATTAGTGAAATTATCAACGGCTACAATGGCAAACTGGACGCCTCCTTTCCCGGTCGGCAGGGGACCTATGAGATCGATTCCCCATTTGGCAAAAGGCCATGGACTGTAGATTGATTTGAGCTCCTCGGGAGACTGGTGGATGTTGGGTGCGAACATTTGGCATTTCGCACACTTACGAACCCATGCAGCGGCGTCAGTTTTTAAGGTCGGCCAATAATAACCTTGTCGTAAAACTTTGTAAGATAAGGCCTGAGAACTGGGGTGACTTCCGCAAATTCCTTCATGGACTTCTTCTAGAATATACCGTGAATCAGATTCATTCACGCATTTTAAAAGTGGGACGGAATATACTCTCTTAAACAAAGTTCCATTGTCCAATGTATACCGAGCTGCTCGAATCTGAAGTGTTCGAGCTTCTTTTGGATCCGGGGGCAAGGCCCCAGTTTCTAAATAGTGGATAATAGGATCCATCCAAGTTGGCGGCTTTTGTGATGTTACCGGATCGATAGCTGCGACTTCGGTAAATGCGGTCGACGGTCGTTCTTGTTGTCCGACTTGGACATACTCCATGTTCTCCATTCCGGTACTCGAGGCCAGCCGGGACAAAGCGTCTGCTTGAACATTAAGAGTTCGGGGAATGTGTTCAACGTCAATGGAGAACTTTGATAATTTTCGCTTTGCCAAAGAGAGATACGGTGTCAACCGAGGTTCTTTGACTTCATACGAACCGTTTATTTGGTTGACAAGGAGCTGGGAGTCTGAGAAGACTTTGAGGTGCTTTACGTTCATGGATTCATCCAAATTTAGTCCGGATAGCAAGGCTTCGTATTCGGCTTCATTGTTTGTTGCCGGAAAAAGAAATTTCACTGAGTGACAAAATAATCAGTTTTCCGGGTTCGCCAGGACTATTCCTGCACCTGCTCGGTTGACTGTCGAGGAGTCGTCGATATAAAGAACCCACGGTTGATCGTCGTGATGAACTGTTATAGCCGGAGTGAATTCGGCAATGAAGTCGGATAAGGCTTGTGCCTTGATCGCAGTCCTCGGTTGGTAGTGGATGTCAAATTGTCCAAGTTCAATCGCCCATTTGATCATGCGTCCCGAAGTGTCAGGTCGGTGCAGGACTTGGCGCAACGGATACGAAGTGCGGACAGTTACAGAATGTTCTTGGAAGTAAGGTCGTAATTTCCGAGCAGCGATGACAAGCGCAAACGCCAATTTTTCCATAGGAGGGTAGCGCAGTTCGGCGTCATGTAGGGCTTTGCTAATGTAATAAACAGGCGATTGTAGCGTTCCTTCTTCACGTACCAAAACAACGCTGATCGCATAATCGCTGACTCCGAGGTATAAAAACAGCATTTCCTCGGGTCTTGGTTTTCGTAACGTTGGTGGAGAGGCAAGTGTCTCCTTGATGCTGATGAGAGCTTTTTGACATTCTTCGGTCCATTCAAAGCACTTTCCTTTTTTGATTGCTTCGAAGAAAGGTTTACAACGATCTGTGGATTTGGAGATGAACCGGTTGAGAGCAGTAAGTCGGCCAGTTAAGGCCTGAACACCCTTAACCGAAGTCAGGGGAGTTAGGTCTTGAATGGCTTTTATCTTGGCCGGGTTGGCTTCAATTCCGCGCTGGCTGACCATATAGCCCATAAACTTTCCTGATTTAACTCCGAAGGTGCATTTCTTGGGATTTAAGACCATGGAGTACGATCGGAGAACATCAAACATATCTTGAAGGTGTATTATATGGTCAGAAGCGTGCACCGACTTGACGAGCATGTCGTCGACGTAAACTTCCATAGTATGACCAATCATCGTGGCAAACATTTTATTGACAAGGCGTTGATAAGTGGCTCCGGCGTTTTTCAACCCAAACGGCATCATGGTATAGCAGTACAAGCCTCGTGCTGAATAAAACGAGGTGTGTTCGGAGTCCTCGGGATCCATAGGAATTTGATTATAACCGGAGTAAGCATCCATAAAACTCATTAATTCGTGTCCCGACGTGGCGTCAACCATGTAATCTATGTGTGGGAGTGGGTAACTGTCCTTGGGACACGCTTTGTTCAAGTCGGAAAAATCAATACACAGCCTCCACAGACCATTGCTCTTTTTGACAAGAATGGGGTTTGAAACCCATGTCGGATACTTGGCCTCTTTGATGAATTTGTTATCGATGAGTTTCTTAACTTCTTCTTCCAATGCTTTTTGACGATCTGGCCCCAGTTTTCTACGTTTCTGGACAACAGGCCAGACAGTTCGATCGAGGTTTAACTTATGACAAGCGACACTGGGGT